GGGGGTGAGGGAGAAGAGTAGGAAGTAGGGATGGAGGAGAAATCACCTTTCAGTGGACCCATGCTTGATGCCGTCATTTCACCAACAAAATTTTACGTTCACTAGGTGTAATTCAAGATTATTTTATTTAAATCAACACTTCACTGTGCTATATATTATCAATATGTTAACTAAATTTCAGAATGACCAATAATTTCAATGAAAAATGAAAAAATATTCAAGACACCAACAAAATAGATGTTCACTTCACTGTCAACAGAGCCCAACTGATGCCTTGTGGCTGAGTCAAGCATCTGATGGGTGCACAAAAAACTAGTTCCCTGTACTGCATATATTATCAATATGTTAAATAAATGTTAAAATGGGTAATAATTATAATATAAAAGCAGTAGATTATACAAACAATGTACTCATGGGGAAAAAAAAAAATATATATATATATATATATATATATATATATATATATATATATATATATATATATATATATATATATATATATATATATAACTTTTTTTTTTTATTGAAACAACCTTCTCACACAGAGGTGATGTGAACAAAGCAGTAGATTATACAAACAATGTACTCAAGTGAAATTTTGTCTCCTGTCAGAGAGATGTTGTTTATGAGCATCTCTGGGGCTTTCTTTAAAACATGGTGATATTGTACAGTATTAGAAAGTAATAAAAGCTGGTAAAATATTCACATTAGGTGAAAATAGGTAATTTTTTAGGGAATCACACAAAAAAAATGATAAATCCAGTATTGGCATTTATGGCATTTTGCATGAACATCCAGGCTTTAATTTTTACATATATATATATATATTTTTTGTATGTCATTTCCTTTTTATGCATTTATCATATGTAAGTGAAATACTACTGTACTGTTTCCTGTACTGAGGATATTTACACTCAATTTCAGGAAAAAATTGTTTGTGATATTGCCTTGTACTGTACTTTATTGATGAAAGAATCTTCATTTTATAATTCCTTAAGAAAATATATACTGTATGTAAATATTTTATTTTATTTTTAAGATTATAATGTGAACAGAAGTAAACATAGGAAAGCTGTGGCTCTTTATGGCATGGTTGTAAGAATATTAAGAAAGTACAGTATTAGATGCACGAGGGTAAATTATATGAAATAACATATACTGTATATTGTCAACCTATTGTGTGTGTCTTTGTATTATAAATACATACAGTTAGAGGAAGGTGTTCAAAGTGTATTTAACTGTGCCATTTTAGTGCTTTGAAAGAGGAAAATTTTAGGGTCGTATTAGTTGAAGAGGAAGCATAGAATAATTGGTGGATGTATTCAGATTTTTTAGGTCAATGCTTAGGAAGGCAGGTTGCAAGAAAATACAAGTTGAGAAGATTGTAATACAAAAATTAGAATTGAAGGTAATCTCTGAGCTCTTTTGAACCAGCAAGAGCTTTGGGGCCTGATTGTTCCAACCCTTGAGTGTGGATATGAACCTGTAAGCATCCTGGGCACAGTTTTATGTATCATAGGAGAAAGATTGAAGATTTAAGAAAATATTAGGGATTTAGTGGTCAAAGATTTGTGAAGAAATCAGTCTGGATGAAGGATGGAAGTGTATGGAGGTGGTGTAATGGTAGTAAGGAAAATTTAATGAGGTACAGTTAAGGGTAAGAAAGGTGCGATTGCCTAATTAATGGAGTGAGTCATTGATGATACAGTACTTCCAGTGTTTTGTGTCGATTGGAGAAGAATTGTGCAAGAAAATGGAAAAAGACTATGAACTGGAGTAAAGTGAATCAAATTGATGTTGAAACTGTGTGAAAAATTAAGCTCTGTTACAAAAGATGACTTTAAAAGGTTTTTAAGTTTTTGTCTGGGTAATTTTTTCCATGACACCATATAGAGTTAAGTAATGAGGTAAAAAAAAATTGACTGCTTTAGTAACTGTTTAAAGAGTCTAGAGGAAAGAAGGGAAATTCTATTAATTAGAACATAAGGAAATAACAGTTAGGTAAATGAGGGCCTTGCAAATATTTATGAGCAGTGGTGACCCTCATTGTGAATGTGTAAAGAATATAAAAGAAACCAAGATGGTGAAGCCTTTTAATTACTGCTTCTTTAGGTAACCAAAGACAGCCAGGCTGTTATTTTATAGTACGGGTAGTACGGTACGGTACTTGGAAGTGGGCTTGTATTCATTCACCTCTCAAGTGAATGGTCGTGTGGCTTTTTCCTAACTGGAGTGGATGATTATATTCTTTCCTTGTACACTAGGTCTTGAGCACTCAGCCGTGTTGAGTGCGCTTGCCAGGAGACTAGTATCCTGCCAAGGGGATGGAAATAACCTACTAGCTGGTGGATGATAGGAAACAACCTACTAGCTGGTGGATGATAGGAAACAGTAGTTCAACACCTGTCCAGTCACAGCACATCATAATAGGAAACGGCTTGTGTACATGAAGTAGAGTTCTGACACTTTCAAGGTTATCATAAATTAGGAATTGTTGCATTTTCTTACTTTCTCTTTCTCTCAAGTTTTCATTTTATGCAATTAATACAGAAGCCTCGGTAATATTGCAGGAAATTAATTGTCTTATTTTAGCTAAGCTTCTATTTTATTGTTCCTTTTGCATGTTGTACTGGATAAATATTTGCAAATATACTACAGCTAAAGGTCATTTTGCCCTTGATGTAAACTTTTGTGTGTACTTTTTGTAAATAAGCCCAACTTAAGTGCTTTAAAAGTTCATTAGTCAAAAGTGTTTAAATGCCTATCTACCAAACTTGACATCATTTTTAAAGAGGATTTTTATATCTTTTGATTGACATTTAATTGAGTGCTGCATATATCATATAATTTTTGTTTATGGTTGGGTTAGCTCTATATCTACTCTACTTTCACCACCCTAACTTCTTTCTTTTAGAATCACTTTATTTAAATTAATGTGCAGTACAGTAATAATGGCTCTAGTGGGTTTTTTTGTTTTGTTTTTATCAAATGATTTCCTACATTTTCATTCTCAGTAATTAGTTGCTCAACAGTGCAATGTTAAATATTTGATTGAGGTGTGTGTGTGTTTATACTTTACAGTCATGAGAAATCAGCTTAAAGAAATTAATGCAAACTGAGACCTGTATGATATTTTTCTATATGATGGCTAATGTCAGGAAAGAAAAACTGGCAAAATAGCAAAGGAAGTCATGTCAGGGCAGTACAGTACCTTCCACCTGGTTCTGGATGTGGGCAGAGGTGTATAGTAGAATGATTGAGAGTGTTCCTCCCCACCAGCAGAACTGGATTTATAGAAGAGTGCTCTGTCCCTTAATGCTTTGGGTGTATATTTTTTGTAATTCAGTGCTACAGTATTCAGTGGCTTGATTTCAAACTTATACATACATACATACATAGACAACGTGCGTGTAGTATTATAGAGGTGCTTCATGTTATACATTTCTCAGGGTGATATGAATACTTTCCTAAAGGGTGTACAGTATGTGTAATAAGTTTCTACAATTTCCTGTGAATTAATTTTAAACTTAGCTTAGTTGTTTCACACATACAGTATAGGACATAAAGCTTGTAGTAGTGTGAAGATTTATCCCCAATATTGGTGTTCTGTATACACTTAGTTTACATTTGTTGGGGGATACTCATACTAATGCATTTTAATATTCCTTGGTTGTTCTTGCACAGTTTGGTGTGAGTTTGATCCTGCAGCCATCAGGAATGTAATTGTTTGTGGTGAGGCAGTGGCTGTCGAGTTAGAATCCTTGCTAAAGCTAACTCATTTTTTGTGGGAGTTGACAGCTTGCACAACTGTTGTTAGATTTAGTTATCATTTTTTCCCGTTAGATTTTCACTTAAAATTCCACTTAAGAAAATTTAAATGTCAGCTGAAACAGATAGTCAGTAATGCTTAGCACAAATATAAATTGCATATTCCAAAATATTTTCAAGGTTTATGTATGTGGATAAGTAAATTCAGGGTTTGTATAGAAAGGATTTCATGGATTAAATCAAATCTTGGGTGTTGGACTGACAAAAGGAGAGTGTGCATGCATGTGTTGTGTGCGTGTAGGTGTGTGAAGCCTTGCTCACACAACATCCTGGAGATACTCAGGGTATGTAAGAAAATAGGTAGTATTTTTTATTTAGACACTTGACCAGATTAGGGATTCAGTGATCTTGAAAATATAACCACCAATACTTTTATTGAGATCTGGATCATGGGAAGTACTGTTATTGTTTTCTTTTAGGGTAATTGAAGTTATTAATGTAGTTGAGACATAAGTATGCTTAACACTAGTTGGTAAATGATTGTAATAGGATAACCAGGATTTCTTTCCTGACAAGGAAGTGTCCTGTGACAGGGCTCTTATTTTGTACACAGGAAGATTCAAACTTTTTGCATATAAGTCATGGACAAGACTTCATTCCATGTGGTGAAACTGTGTCACGGGAATGAGTCCCCGAAATTACTTTCCCTTGACTGTCGTCTGGTGTAGATGTGTTTTATCTCAATTGGAGTTGGTGCTGCTTCATTTTGGGAGGGAGCAAACGTTTGACCCCAACTATACAGTATCATTTAAAAGCTAGTGCAAGCATTGTTCAGGAACAGAACCCATTCGTAACCCAGGGACCCCCTGTAATGAGATGATATATTTTTAGAATATTACCACAAATAAAAAAAATGGAAGTGGGTTTGGTAAGAGATATGAATAGATATACAGTACTGGGTAGTTGTTAGATTAAATGTTGATTTATTTTAATGTATTGTTGGTCCAAGGAAAAATAAATCTGCATGTATGGACAAGTACAATACAGTATTTGAAATGTCATGAAAAACTTTTTGTTTTAGTCAAGCAATTTAACGATGGGGACATATGACAGGCTGAAGATAATAGTGTCAGTCTTAATTAGACTTACAAAGTCCACTTTCAGAAGTTTTATGATATTTTCTCTAAAGATTTTAGCCACTTGACTCTGTTAATTAATTACTCTTCTTCCAGTCCGCCAATTCCACGAAGTTATAAACTGCGAGAGGACAAGCAAGAGGAAGTAGACGAGGCTATGGCACGTTTCAGTCCAGCTAAGAAGCGTGCAGTGTCTCCTGTTGCGCTGGAGCCAGATGAGGAGAGCCCTAGCAGTTCTGGCAAGAGAAAACGTAAACGAGAACTGGATATCCTCATGGAAGATAAAAAGGTAAGGTTTTCATTCGCAATCCATCTAAGACTGCACTGTTTAGAGAGACATCAAGACATTGTTATTTTAAGACCAGAGATTGGAATGAATACAACTATGGAGGAATGGATCATTGAGTTTTACATGAATAGAAACATGTTGGAAGGTGCAGTGGAGTGAGTGGTATGTGAGCACTATTGAGGGTGGTTAGAAATGAATACAATATGGTAATGAAGTGCTGAGGAGCTTTGATGATTGAAGTGAAATGTAAATGATTGGTGAGTGCTTCAGTGCTGTGAAGGTAAAGTGAACGGCTGAAAGGAATGTCAAATGAGTCAGATGAGAACTAAGGTGCTGTAAATTCTTAAGACAGTAAAAATATTAGGGTGCTCTGAAATAATTAGAAAGGTAATTTTGATTTTATACAACTATGTGAAATTGTGTTTTAACTCGAAGACACACAGGCAAGATGAATTGTACATGTTCTTTTTATTCAACCAATGAAATCAGACACTATAAGTATCCAGAACATGACTCGTGTAGTGTTGTAGATGTTTTGATGCAGCTTGGCTTGAATATTTTTCACGTCTATTCATCAATAGGCATGTAAGGTACTGCAGCACTTTAATTGAAACATAGTACAATCTTACTGCTGCTGCATACACAATTCTTTGGACATGGTACAGTATTGGTTTTAGGATAATGCATGGTTTTAAAGTAGGATACAATTTAAACAGCACTAACTAATTCCATTAATCGTTAAATATTTTCAAGGGTGTACTGATTGTTTTGTAGGTTTGACAATAAGATGGTGTTTACATGTATAGGAGGCTGTGCAGATTATGTGTAACATTTTCAAAGTGATCTTTGAAATATACTTGTCCTGACAAATTTTTGAAGGTAATTTGCTTGCCTGGATATCTTTTTTTTTTTTTTTTTTTTTTTTTTTTTTTTTGGAAAAGGGTAAATAACCAACTTAAAACATGGAAATTAATTGTGTGTGTCAACTTACAGACCACTTGTGTCCATCTAAATGGTGTCAGTGTCAGAAGTCCTTGTCATGTGAGGTCATAACTCCTATCACCTCTCGTCTACAACCTTTCAGCTTGGTGGTTCCTTTGAAATGTTGACAAATTGACAGCATAAAGTAGCGATAAATTACCTGCACCTGACATAGGTCATGAATCCTGGTGCACCTCCCTGGTTTAACATATGTGGTGAGGTGGGATCACACAACACCTGACAAATTTCCATCTAAGCATTTGCCTCTCAAAATATAAGCTTTTCCACCAGGCAAGTGCCAGGTACAAAGACATGAAAAAAAAATTTTTGTCCTGGCTGCCTGGCACTGCTAATCTGCACAGCCTGATGTATAGTATCAATAAGCTAAACTTCTAACCTTTACAGTATTTTATTCTAATTCAGTATTCTGTGGCAGCATTAATGTCTTGAATTATCTTCTGATTATATAGCATTTAAAAGTGTATTTGATTATTTGAAGTTTAGAAGAAAAAATATTAATAATTTTAGTCAAATTACTGCCATTGAAAAAATTTCAGAGTAAATTAGGAAGATGCTTATCAGTATAAGTATTATATTACTATTTCATTCTCCAGGCCAAAAAAATGATAGAAGAGATTGGATCAGTAAAGGAGAATAGCATCACTGATTCCCAAGCTCCTATCAAGAGAAAAAGAGGACGTCCACCCAAAAATCAGCAGAGTATCAAATCTGATGATTTACGGGACCTTAAGCAGAAGCGGGCACAGAAGCTATTAAAAGAGGCGCTGAAACAGGTAAACTTGTGCTTCTTCATCACTACCCACCTGGTGTTTTGTTAATATTCATTATAACAGACATACTAGATTGGGCGATTTATAAAGCCTAGACATGTGTAGGTTTGACAACTCAGGGTGCCCATGATGGGGATGGAATTACAGAAATGAAAAGTATTTTTCTTGACATTTATAGGCCCTATAAAGGAGATACAAGAAAGTATGAGTTGCCGGTTAGGTGAGAGCTAATAGTCCTTATCCACCATGCTACCGTACATGGGTTTTGTGTCCTATGTTATGGAAACTTCACCAAAGACATTACAGTATATGGTGTATCACTTCTGAAGAGTTTCACTCCACTTCCGGCATTCAATGTATTATATACTTGATATATTATTATTTAATGAATTCCATTCATTTCCAACATCCATCTAGGGTATTGGTTATACTTTGTCATGACCAATCAGTCATTACCTTTAGTAATTAGTAGGATAGGGCTCACAGATACAGGCAGATTTTCCTCAAAGGCATGGCCACATGCTGAAGTCCATCAAGGTGAGGATGCACTCTGCCCCATCACTCAACTTTGAGTTTTTCTGACCCACAATGTCCATCATCTCGTCCCAAAGGGTTCAGAGGTCACTGGTAGAGGCCTCAGCAGTGTAGGTGGAATCCGTCCTTGGCCTCTGGTTTTCTGGCAAACATCACAGTCCATTCTCAATATTTCTCCAGGGATTCCATCTATTCTTGGTATTTCACCATTCTTGAGCTTACAACAAGTCTCACCTCTTCCCTTATTGATTTTCTCTTGCTTTAACACTTTTTAGATCATCTCTTCATAAATAGGACAATTTTCTCTTTCTGAAATATTATATTTACCAATTGTTTAAAATTCTTTATTAATCTATTTATCATCACACCCTCCCTTTTCTGTGTTGTATCTCCTTTCATTTTTAATTGGTACTTTGTTTATATGCCTTGGCTTAAAAGATAAAGAAAAATTGTAGACCCTGGCTTGTTATGGTATTATACAGTACATACTTTTCAGGGACAAGGTATGCGGCCTGTCACCAAATCTGGTCTTGAGATCCCAACACCAAACTGCATCACCCCAGGTGACACTAGTGGAGATGAAACATCCTCTCATGGTACCCTGGACTCCTTCATTCCTCCACCCTCTAATTTTGAGGGACAGAACAATCCCTTCTTGAACCTGGATTCACTAAGCTACGGATTGCCGGTTGTTAGACCTCTCAAACGGAAACTAAATGAAAGTGACATCCGCATAGGGAAGAATGGAGAAGTAAAGAGGAGACGTTTCCGAAAGAAGTGTGACAAGGCTAAGATCATGTTCCTGCTACAGAATGGTTCTTTAAGTATAAATGGTGGAAATGGAATCAGATTAAATGGCACGAACAGCATAAAAAACTGTGTGGACTATGCCCTCAGTGGTAGGCTAAACGCAGGCTCTAAAGATGACTGCAGTGACATAGTGGAGGATCCCAAAGTGGGAGACTCAGGCTTCTCCTTCAGTGACCTTAAATCAACCGTCAATAACTATTTCGGGGCCGCAAACCGAATTGCAAGTGGTGAAAAGTTCCATGTAATAGCAAGAAGAGTCAGTTTTGAAGATAAAGTTCAGTACCTCATAGAATGGGACAGTCCAAGTTCCTCGTAATCCGAGTTCCAAATCCTGCTCGTGGCCTCTGGCTACAGCACTAATTTTTTTTCTTTGAAGTGGTTTCTAAGTGAACCAGTTTGGAGATAGTCAATTCTGAGACAAACTTGCATAAGGCACCAACCCCATAACCACATTCAGACTGTGTTCATAATGCACTGCCAGAGTGAGTGATGCAAGAGTGTGAGGTTTGTGTCAGGTGCGGCGTACAGCCTCAACTTTAGTTTGTGATATGGTTGCTTAGGGAGGGAGCAAGAGTTTGTTGTTAAAAAAAAAATATCAAGAAATCAGGTTTAAGAACACTAATACACCCATTGTGAAGAGTTGAAAGTGATCGATCAGGAAATTGTGCTTTGTGGAAGTAGTGACTTTTGGGTGGTGTATGAGGTGTTAGACCAGCCCGAAGCAACCACATAAAAGCAAGTTATTTCACTATTGTTTAGTCATGTACATAAGTCCTGTATTTGTTTTTGGTTATATTTATCTGGCGTTGTGGATGCCAGACTTGTGTTTATGTATGACTGAGTGTACGATTCCTTAAAATGTGGGTGGGGTGGGGGAGGGGGGCAACCTACTGAACACCAAATGGAAATGAATGTTTTTCAAGGCATGGGAAGTAAGTATCCTTGTTTTGATTGGGGATACAATTGTGTGGCAGGTTTAATATTATTATTTTTATTTATTTTTATTTTATTTTTTCTTGAACCTGCTTCATTTGGATCATAATGAAGTGGCTCTCCTGTTTGTAGTGGTGCATGAGAAATTGCACTGTGTGTAGCCGTGTACATACGTTTATAACTTGTTTTGTTGCCAAAGATTGCCGACAGTTTGTCAAGGTAGGCAGTAGGGAAGGGTCAGGTTATTTAGTGGGCTTTCCCTTTCTGGGTTTTACTCTTGTTTCTGTTTTGAATGTCTCTTACAATTTTAATCTTAACCATTCTGTTGTGTATAACATTGTGATGTTTTAGATGCTTTATTGAAGACTTAAACCTTTTATATAGTACTGTTTCCATACCAAGTGAACCTGACCCAGGGATCCCTACTGCTAGCCCTTCAACTATCACTGCCACTATTCCATCGTGCTCAACTTGTAAGATGTTTCAAGCGTTGCAGCATGTAACATTCCAGGAATCATAATTCTGTCTGCGACATATTTCAGCGTTGTACCATTTACTGCCATTGACCATAGTTGCTAGAGTACCTTATTTCTGTCCTTTTTGTATACCTAATGATGACAGTACAAAACGTTATCATGCATGAATCTTCCGTGACATGTACAGACTACAGTATAATTATCTTTATTTTTTCCTGTGGCACATAAGACATAACTGGTGTTGAGTAGATCAGTAGACGAGAGTTTACAGTATTTGACGCAGAAAATCAGGAAGTTTTCTTTGTGTACATTATCTATTTCTTTGCCCAGGTACATACATGATTTTTTACACGGTGCTTTAGAATTTATCGTTGAGTATTTTTAAATGTTTAGGAAAGGCTTTCTTAAATTTTGAATACAGTTTGTGCTTTTTTATTTTTATCCAGTTGAAGAATTAAAGGGAAAAATTCTGTTGGCCTCTCGCTCTATTGGTTACAAGTATAAGTCACTTGATGTAATATACTTAATGTTGTTTAATTTAAATATTGGAATGTGTGAATTACGCAGTTGTCATCTCGTCAATATACAGTATATGTTTTTCTGTACCTCTTCTCAAATCTCAAGTACTGTACATGCATAAGTATGTTGTGTTTGAGATTATTAAATATCATGTAAATTATTTAGCTGTAATGTGTCCCAATCCCATTTCTATCTATCTCCTTGTGAGGCTTAATTAAGTACAGTACAGTACAGTACTGTCCTCTTCATCTGTTTTCCAGTCTAATGCCTGTTTACCAATTGTGTTTTTATTATTATTATCATTATTATGTCCATTTTTACTGATGTAGTCATTTTGTTACATATGTACCAACTCCTTTTCTATTTCACTTTGCTCATTACCTGCCAACAACAACACTTGGAAACACTGCCATTTTAATGTCATTGCCTCTTCCTAAACTCCCGGAAACAGGGTTACATCGAGCTAACTAAGGATGTGTCAAATGCATTTGGGTGTTATGTGTAATTTTTGTGTTGATTGATTGATTGATTTATATTTTTATGCCTTCCCACCTTTAGAATTTTTTCAAAAGGTAAAATATAGGGCACCACTTATGCTCACTGTGTGAGTAAACATGGTCACTTGGATGTGTTATGAAAATGCTTATGACATTTTAACTAATGTGTATGTGTAACTATACCTTTGCTATGACACATTCTTGAACTCGTTTGGTAGTCTAGTCATTTTGTTTTAACAAGTCAGCACAGGCAATAGACATGGAGTTACCCACCTAAGTTGTTATCACTCTGCACTCTTAAATATTTTATTATTCAAGAAGTATTTAAAACTTTCCAGGTATCTGGAATATACTCAGAATAATATTTTCACAATAGCTGTGTTTTGTAATTATTGTGCACTCAGTAAAGTCTGTCTTTTCAAGGATTAGTTTGGAAGATAAATAAAAAATAATTGTGAATAACATATATAATGGGGACTTAGACAATGTACTGTATGTCATTCCATAGGAAAGATGTTTATTTCCCTGTGGGAAAATTGTCACAAAATTTATATATATAATTTATATATATAATTTATATATATATATATATATATATATATATATATATATATATATATATATATATATATATATATATATATATATATATATATATATATATATATATATATATATATATATATATATATATATATATATATATATATATATATACACATATACATATACATATACATACATACATACATACATAAATACATACACACACACACACACACACGCACACACACACACAGTATAGTCTCGATTTACACGGATTTGGTTTACGCGTTTGGTCATTTACGCGGCACCTTGCCAGACCGACAATTTTTATTTACACGGTTCATTCCATCATTTATGCGGGAAGCGGCATGGGTAGGATGCGCACAAAGTCGCCCAGTCAACAAAACGTTACCGAGTTCTTCACCCACCACAGCCAGCCCAAGTCAGTGATAGTGAGGATATGGACTTTGAGGGGTTTGACAGAGGCCCTGCAAGCCAATTGTGGTGAATAGTGATACAAGTGATACAGGTGAGGGCCAATAATCTGCCCTCTGCCTCGGAACCAACCCCCCATCCCCGTGTGTCCAGCCATCTTTTCTACTAATGTGAGTGTTAAAAAACCTAATATTATTGATATTTCTCTTAATTATTAATTGTGTGTGCATACCATCATAAAATTAAGATATTTTTACTACAATGTACTATTGTGTAGGAAAAAGTGTAGTTTGGGGGTCGACCCAGTCTCTATTTCAATTAATCCCACATGTTCTGTTATTTCGTTTAAGTGTTTCTCATTTTACACGGACCTCCACGGTTCAATTGACCGCGTAAATGAAGACTATACTGTGTGTGTGTGTGTGTATGTATGTATGTATGTATGTATGTATGTGTATATATATATATATATATATATATATATATATATATATATATATATATATATATATATATATATATATATATATATATATATATATATATATATATATATATATATATATATATATATATATACTGTATATATATATATATATATATATATATATATATATATATATAAACTTTTCACTCATCATTCCCAATATTTGCTTATGGATTATTTGTCTTCAACAGTTTTCCCAGCAGTTGTCATACCAGGATCAGCCGTAGAGAAGTACAGTATTGATCTTGTTATTAACCCAGGCATAATTTAAGTATACATCCATGTAAGAAAGCTTGTTCAGGAAAGGCTATGTTTTTGCATGGTAACATTACTAATGTTTAGAAGGCAAATATGAGTTGTGTTGCATTACCTTTTTTTGTTTAATTTCTTAATTCTCAGAATATGTGAATACTCAGTAAGTATCTGCATTAAAGCATATCCCGAAAAGAAAACAGTCAACACAATATTTGAGTGATTTACATTTTCCAGTGACATGTAAACAATGTAAGATCAGCACAAAAATCACAGAACAGACACAATATATATTTAGATTTTTAAAACTTTTCTGACTGTAACTCCTCCCCATCTTTATTCTCCTGTACCTCTTGTGTACTGTACAATAGTTACAAAACAGCACTTTACAAATTCTACTTCCTTTTTGGTATGTCACTGCTTCCACAATTACTGTAGCATTAAACTTTGTGATTTCTGTTTTCTGTCACTGTTTTGACTTACTTTTAATGGCAACTGTATCCATGAAGAAAATCTATGATCAAATGTTTTTATTGTTTTAAATAAAGATGTATTTTCATGGTAAACAACTTTTTTAGGAACACATGAATACTTTTTGACACATATTCTCTAATTACTCCTATTTTTATTAATAATTTAAGAAATTAGATATGGATGCTTGCATTCAGTTGTTATTGCAGAATATGTGTAGGATGTTGAACTATGTTGCAATGAAGAGTTGTAATGGAATAGTGGTTTGTCAGAGCTTTTCACTAGCTGAGAGGGTGCACTGATAGCATGTATATTCATGTGAGTGAGCAGTTATTTACCATGAACTTGCATCTTGAATGATATGATCCAATGGTGCTCCTGCAAGAGTTCCCAAGTACAGTTATGAGTTGGAAGGTCAAGGAGCTGGTAATAGATGTAGTGTCCTGGTAATTACTCTGGGCCAAGTATAATAATAGGGGGGGGGGGGGGGCCTTGTCCCAGTTAACTTTTAATGTGGTTTCCGAAATTAAATTAAATTTTGAAGTACTGTAATCTAGTTTATCCTTGAATACAATCGACACTAAACTTGGAAATGCAGTGCTAAAAAGATTGAGCTTCGGTAAGTGAATTTGCAATTAGCAATCACAAGGACATTAGTGTGTGCAAAGTAACCACCTTCTCCCACCTCCTCTCATGGTTTTACCATGCTGGTAACTGCAGGGCTTTCATTGTGGAAATTTATTTCCAGATTTGAGACAAGTGTAGGTACACTTGCAATGAGTATGCGGTTATAAGTACACAATAATTTTATTCCCTGTAGGGTTTGTCCCAATAGTACAAAATGCTTCCTGTATGTACTGGGAACATTTTATCTTTTCATTTTAGATCTGTTACAAAGAAATGTTGACTCCAAAAGAAAGTATTTTTCAAGTTTACCAAATTGTTGTTTTGAATTTTTATGTCTTCTGGAAACTAAAAATTACAATATTGGGTTCCATGTAGTCCATTATAAATAAAAAATTCTTGATTCTATTGGGATTCCTTTCAGTCCCATGTGAGTAGGTAATGTGTATGTCTCAGGCTCAAATTACACTCGTTCAGCTATTTATAGAGTACCTGACTGTACTTCCATATCTCCCTGTTGTGGCAATCTCATCATGACTTCATGTTTATTCACATTGGCAACTTAAGAGACCTACCCATCCACATTCAACTTAATGGTAACACACACACACACACACACACACACTCTCTCTCTCTCTCTCTCTCTCTCAAAACTTAAATGATGTCTTTTATGCCACCAGTTGGAACTGTTCTTTGGAATTTGTTAATATGCCTGAAGAAACAAGATTGGTAGTTATATGGGTTTGAAGATCAGCCAGCCCCAGGTTTCAATGTAAGTGTTAAACTTTAATTTTGACTTTCCTTTACTGTGTTTTTTCTTTCAATTTCTTCTTTTCTCTTAAATTAAGTGATTTGTGATGTATAAAAGGACTTGGGGCTATAGTGGGTATGTGTTTCAACTTACTCATTATACTATATATATATATATATATATATATATATATATATACTATATATATATATATATATATATATATATATATATATATATATATATATATATATATATATATACCTGTATATATAAATAACCGCCATCCGGATGGTTAAAGGGTGAATAATAATTCTCACGTCGTACACGAACATTATAATTCGGTCAAACCTGTTGAATACAATTCATTTAGTATTTCAAATAAGTCATACATAGGCACTCTTACATAAATGTTTAATCCAATATATATTTACATAACAATCATGGCTATGTAATTAGTCTACTCTTAACACTTACAATGAATACTCAATTTGCCATATTTCTATACTGTCACACTGACAAATGATGTAATGGACACAGTCTACCTGTGTACACAATAAGTACTAGTTAAACTTACGTGTTGAAAGTCTAGAGAGAAGCCAGGGTAGGTGTTGACTCTAAGATATGGGTAGCTATACTGAAATGCCCACCCTATAGCCTGGCCCCTTAGCTGGTCAGCTATGGCTGAGTCAGGTGATTATAATTATACGTAAACAAACTCCCTTCACACCCTTCAACCTCCTTCTGGGCCTCTCATCTCATCTTTGTACCCTACATATTGTATACGTGGCTGCTTATGTGTAATAATATATATATATATATATATATATATATATATATAATATATCTGATAAACATCGATATTTTCGTCTATTCAAGATTCTTGAATAAAGACGAAAGCTAAGGTGCTCCGTTGTTTCCGTGGTGATTTTATCAAGATTTATCTTATCCACGTTTTCATTGTGGATCTACATACATACATACATACAGTGGTCCCTCGGTTAATGAACGGTTCGATTAACGAATTTTCGGTTAAGGAATTACCTCCTATAATGATCTTCAATTCGGTTAACAAACAAAACTTCAATTAATGAAAT